CAATTCCTATATCTTATGATGTTTTGCTCTTGTAATATTTGGATTTTAATTCTATTTCATGCAATTTATCATTTTCCACTTTTCATCGTATACAATTTTTTATTTCATATGTATATCAGTTTGTTATTTCATAGTTTAATAAAAAGTTAATATATCATCCTTTAACATATTATGTGGTTTTTATATAAAAACTCACTTTTAATTTTATATTTATTTTATGCAATTTTTGAATTTTGATGCTTATGCCTCAAATCATCTTGACGCTTATGCCTTGTCTCATGAATGAAAAATACCTCAATACTTAATTGCCCAATTTTAAATCTTTTTCCAAGCAAAGGGAGTTGTACGTATGTACTTTCGTTACTCAGCAAAATAATATTTGAAGACATTGAAGTGAATTTTTATGTATCTAAGAGGCATTGTGGATTAAGCTCTACTTCAAGAGATCTTACTTGAAACTATTGGGATATTTTGATGTTAACATGGCTGGAGACATTGATGATAGGAAAAGTATTGTATGACAATTAGTTGGGTTTCAAAGATGCAAAGATTGTTTCCTTTTCTACTACTAAGACTATTTTGTAGTGACCAAAGCAAACATGAAGATAATACGCCTTGACCAATTCAAAAGGGACTAGTCTAGCCGGCTCCAAACCTACAATAGGTGGGCCGTAGGCTTGAATTGCCACCCCCTTGGGGGTGGGGTCCACGGTTTAGGGAAGAGAGAGCGGGGCTATTTAGTTTTTTTGGTTATTTTTATGTTTGCTTTAATTAGGAGTTTGTATTAGGGTCAGGGCATCTTTTTGGTGTTGAATTCCTGAAGTTCTCTTTGGTGTCTTGGGCTCTAGCGGCGTCTAGAGAGTTTTAGTGAGATTGATCCTCCTCTCGAATAGATGATAGTTTGTATCTTGCTATTTGTTTTCATCTCCTAGCAACCCAGAGTGTTTTTCTTGTGTTTTCATCCATAACGACCTAAAAATCTGTATGGTTAATCTACAGAATTTCTAATTTCAGCAATTGTTTTCCTGTTTTCCTATTATTTCCTATTAGGAGATTGTTTGCTTCAATCAGTTTTAGAAAACTAGGTCAAAAGTACAGGAAGAGTGTGCTCAAGTGACTGTCAGAGTTATGTTCATTCAACTAAGAATCCTGTTTATTATGCTAGGATTAAACACATTTAAGTTCATTTTCACTACTTCCGGTAAGCCTTGGAGGATGGTATTTTAATGTTTCAGATGATTTTTGGGAACTTTAATCTAACTGATATGTTGACAAAGACAATTTCAAATGAGAAATCAAAGTTATGTGCAACTTTAGTTGGACTTCTCCATTAGGGTTGAGGAATCACCATCATTGCAGTGGAGACAAGATGATTGATTAGTTTTTCATTGGGAGATTGTTAAATTATAATTTTTGCCTGAAGATTAAAATGTGCTATAGAGATTTAGTTGAGGGTTGAACTGTTTATTGATTAAGGGTAATTTGGGAATGTTATTGTGTATTTGATTGTCATAGATTTTTCTTTGTAGGAGGGGGGTGGTGCTGCTTTTTGTTGCGTGTGAGAAATTATGTCTATATGCAATCAGAATATAGTGATTACAACATGATATCACCATAAATTAGATGAACATATTTCACTTATACCCAAACACCTTTTGAGATGTATTTTAGACCATCATGCCCCTAGTGTGATCGTTAACAAAACATTGAGGAATGGGGCTATGAGATCATTACCGGTGCTTTTTTGAATTAGACAAATAGTGCTGATGTTTTTGAGATCATTGTCAAAGCATGCGTGTTATATTGAGAACAATTGTTGAATCAACCAAATCTTAAGTCGATCAAATGATCTAAGAGCTAGATGGACTATTGACCCTGTTTGAACCTCGTTGCATGGAAATCATTTGAGCTTGAATTATGATGTCCTTGATCATGCACTTGGACTTAATCACAAGCTAGTTTTTAATGACATATTTTAATGATTTAAAATTTTTTTTATCAGACATTTTTGACAAAATTAAGAGAAGTATGCTAATGAGTAATTACTATATTTGTTGCATTGCTTTCTACTTGAACCGGGTGTTGTGTCTAGTGAAGAGTTGTCTTGTCTCCTGCAAATTCATTTGGATGATTGATGGGCTTGCATTCAACAATTGTGTATGACTTAGTTTTGGGTGTTACAGCACACCTGTGTATCTAGATAGCTATGTCATTAGTTATAAAGCCTTAGTTGCAACATCTCCATCAATTAAAACTTTTGGATATTTATTGTACTGGTTGGTCTTACATCAATTTGGTACTAGAACATAGGTCATGAGTTCAAATGCTAGTGTTGCAATTGTGCATCTAGGAGAGAGGAGAATGACATAAAACTCTCAAGAGGATATGATACCAATTGTAATATGTCTTGCAGGTTCATGGTAGATGATTAAGCCATGAGTTTGCATTCAACTGTGGTGGTCAATTGAATCATGGGCATTGCAATGCACCCACTGATCCAGGGCGACTAGACCTATTGCTATAAAGCCTTAGTTGCACCTTCTTCATCAGTCTGAGCTTCTAAAGTGGCTATTAAGTGATCCTAAATCAGGATACTAGAACTCAAATAAGAGCAACATTTCTAAAGGATAGCGGAGAGCGAAGAGCAGAGAGTGGAGCGGAGCATCGGAGAGTTGCTTATCTTTCGTACCGCCGTTTTGGCGGTGATCGTCCGTCGGCCCGGTGTGGCTGACGGAGGGTTCTGTGGTAAAGTTTTTTTCATACTATACATTTCTGATTATGTGTAGAAAGGATTTCTTGGAGTGGTTCTTGGTTTATTGTTTTGTTGCAATGAGGTGTAGAAATGAGAAGTGCTTGGTTATGAATCTCTTATTGTTCAAGAAGTGTGTGAATGGTTTTTGGTTGGTTAGAAGTGGATCAATTGATTTTGTGGAGAATGTTTCGTTGATTGATTTTTTTCGGCTGCAGTTTGTGATTCTTCATGTAAGGATCGCTCCTTACAATTGTGATTACTGGAAGTGTTTCCAGATTCAGGTTTTCTTTATCCTGGTTGGATTTGGTGATTATTGGAGTGGTTTTCTTGATTGTTTTGAGGGTTTGGTGATTATTCAAGCAGGTTTTCTTTATCAGGTTTTGAGATTGGAACTTAAGTTTTGTGGGATTGTTAATCCGTTTGCTTTGGGAATTGACTTCTCTACTGTTAGAGCTGAATTTATTGCATCGTGGCCTTTGTTTGGATCGTCCAACATGTCTGCTGTTGGACGCATTGGTGATGGCATTAGGTGGGATCTTATTCCATCTAAGCTAATGAAGATTACTGCTTTGATCTTTTAAGTTCAAGTTTTGATTGTTGTAGACTTGAAGGGAGTGGAGATTTTATATTTCCTGTCTGCTAGTGGGTTGACTGTGTATGGTATTCTTGATTGTTTTGAGGTATTGGAGATTGTGTTAAGTGCAGTTTCTTTTTTGAATGCCGTTGTTGGTGCAGTTTTTTGGCTTCCTGTTGAAGAACTTTTTCCTCCGATTAGTGTGAAAGTTGCAGATCGTCTCCTGCTAAGTTCTTCAGTGGAGTTGGAATTGACTGGAAGTGCTCAGGTTTTGTGATTGGAATTTATATTTTGTGGAATGATTAATCCGTTTGCTATGGGAATTGGCTTCTATGCTGTTGGAACCTGAGTTATTGCATCATTGCCTTTGTTTGGATCATCCAAGGTGTCTGATGTTGAACGCATTGGTGATGGCATTAGGTGGAATCTTATCCAATCTAAGCCAATGAATGTTATTGCTTTGATCTTTGAAGTTTAATTCCTGATTGTTGAAGATTTGAAGGGAGTGGAGATTTTAAATTTCCTGTCTGCCAGTGGGTTGACTGCGATGATTAGTTTTATTTTTGGTATTAGTAGTGATAGGATGGCTGTTTGGACTCTCGATTTTCTGGTTATCAGCTTTGTGTTTTTGAATTATGATTTTAGAGTAATGAAATTTGAGATTTTATATAGTTGTCACTTTTTATCTACTTGAGAATTCTAGAATACTAACCAAACTTTTTTGGTTGTCTTAAAAATTGTGTCCCTTACACCCTAACTGGTTCAAAGTGAGGTTTATGGATCTTATTTCCATTATGTCTTTTTTAATTTTGAAATTATACTGTTTTTATGCTTTGTTTGCTTTTCTTCGGTGCTTCCTTTCCCTTTGTTTGGAAATGGAAATTTTTTAGTTTTATTTCTGTTTTAGCTTGTAATAGTTTTTTCTCTCTGGTTTAATACAATTTGCATCTCTTCAAAAAAGAAAAAAAATCAGAATGCTAGAGAAATTCGATTTGTAGGTGGGCTGCTTTTTCATATGAGAAACATGGTCAGGCATTCTCTATATTCTTCTTTTGTGGAAGGGCTTTAGTGTCGGTTTGTTTGACCTACAAACTAGGCATGAGGTAGTTTTCCAGACCTGGCTCGGGTTAGGTTGATCTTTGTGATTATTTTTAGGGGCTGTTTGGTTGCCTGAATTAGGAGTGTAAAGTAAAACAAATACCTGTATTTACTAAATTTGGTTGTTTGCTTAATTTTGAGCGGAACAAAAGGTAATCGTCGGATGCGTTAGGTGTGTATTATGGAGGCTATTTTGCGGGAATTAGAAACCCGCTCGATTTGAGCGGGTTATAAATTCATCGGAAGAAAAGCGTAGCTTCGTCGTGCTGTTCGGCTTCAATCGAGAGGAGAAAAGTGAAGCTTCAAACGAGAGGAGAAAAGCGAAGTTTCGTCGTGCTGTTCGGCTTCAATCGAGAGGACTTCATTTCGGCGAGCTCCACTTAGTGGAACGTATCCTCCGTATAGACCCCGGAATCATCAAGAAAACTATCGCTTACGGCCGCCTCTCCTCCCTCCACATCGCCGCTGCAAATGGGCACGACGAGGTTTCCCTTTTTTATTGATGAGATCTTTCCAAAGGCGGTTCATTTCTCATTTCTATTCAATCCTTAATAGCTTCGTTAACATTATTTTCAGATGCTTTCAATGCTTTTGGAGCGATGGAATCACCCCGATGTTCTCAACCGGCACAAACAGGTAACAAGAGATGAAAAAATCAAATCTTTTTCATAATTCTGCGATCAAAATCTGATATGTCCGTGATTTTGCTCCGAAGACTCCTCTTATGCTGGCCGCAATGCGTGGGAAGATTGCTTGCGTGGAGAAACTCCTTCAGGCGGGAGCAAACGTAGGCTTTCTTTTCTATCTTCTTCTGCGTTTCTCTGTTATCCGCTTTCATTGATCGTCGAACTTTTAATTTTCCCTTACGTTCAGATCTTGATGTTTGATTCGGTGAATGGAAGAACATGCTTGCACTATGCAGCCTACTATGGTCATTCTGATTATTTAGAATCAGTTCTTGAGGCTGCCCACTCCAACCCGATTTCGGAATCCCAAACGAAGTTTAAACAATCGGTGATTACTTTTATAAATACACAAGTTATAATGATAAAAAAATATTACAAATGCTTTGTTTTTACTTTACTCTGGATATATCTAACCAAACAAGGGAAATATTTCTCCTGCGTTTACTTTGCAGACAAACAAACAGCCTCAAAGTATTTGAAATGCACTACATTTACTTTACATTGTATTTACTTTGCAGTCAACCAAACAGCCCCTTAATTAGTTTTAATTCAATTTATTTAAATTATATTTAAGGAAATAAACCCATAAGTTAATCAGAAAATATTTAATTAATTTTTTCAATCAGTTGATTCATTAATTAGCCTTTCTAAAAAATTAATTAGTATTCATTAACATTAATTTATTGCCCCTAATTTTGTTTTAGTTGAATTTTAGGGGCTCAACATACAAATGTGAAGGCCATTGGATGATTACATATAGGAATCAAGATTATTATGGTGAACACCTTTTGATTCATCTACTTATTATTCGAGGTTGGTATATGAATCCTTCTTCATTCATACCTTATCCATGTTCCATGTGGTGTTAACCCTACTTATCAGCAGAAATCACCACAGAAGTCATTGGTCTTCGTCTTGGCACACATGGAAAATTTGACATATTTGGTTTGAACTAGGACAAATAGATTCACTGGAAGATGTGTGAGCAAATATATTTGTGGTTAGACCGGGCATTTATTGGAGTGTGTTGTAGCATGAGGAACTGGTCACTAAAGTTGCGTGTGCTTGTGGAGTTGTGGTTTAATTCAGGTTAATTAATCGGTAATCAATATCTATCAATTTCATTTTGGATTATTCGTCTTTTATTTATTTAACTTGCTAAAACATGTAGGAGGATTTTGATCAGGGTTTGGACAGCCGGCCATTTTTTTAATTTCTTTTGGAGCAAAAGATGGCATCGACTGCCTACATTTCTCTTAGAAATGAATGAAGGAGCTATGGGAGAAAACGCATTTCTTATAAATTAAATTAGAAAAACCTAGAAGAAGTGGCTTGGATTCTCAAGGTTAACGTTAATATTAAACTTGTAAATAAGTAAATCTCGCCTGATCAGTTTCTTTTCAGTGTTATTATGATCCATTTGTGAGTAGTAGCTCGAGCTATCAAAAGAGCATATGTTAACTTATTGAGGATTGATAACAATCACTTGATATTGGTAACCTTATTCCCCTTTATGACCCCTACGGCTGCCTTATGGAGCAGAGAACTGTCTTAGAAATGCTAAATGAAGGTCAACTTGCCTTTTAGACGTTTGTTTCATGGAAAAATATGTCAATTTAGAATTTTACACGGTCGTCATTTAGGTTTAGCTAAACAAGTGGCCTTATTTTCTATTCGTTAAGTTAACCATTGAGAGAGCTTCCGTACAATTATATCAAATATTTTTGTCAACATATCGGCAATGTTTGCTTTAGCTCTTCATTGGATGTGACATGACACTTAAATAGAAAAAAAGAAAAAAAACATATCCTTATTGTTTCACTTAGCTGTAATGCCAAAATTTTGATGATTTTCATGCATAGAACTGGTTTGTGCATGTAGTTAGATTTTCTTCAGTGAATTGTAGATTTTCTCAGCGGTCTTCTTATACTATTTTAACTGCTACAAATTATTCAAGAAAATTTACTTCATACTATCTCCATAGAATTTATTAGACTAAATGTTCTTAAATATCGCTGTGATAAAATGATAGGTTCTGAATGCTGCAATGTTGTATTGGCCAATGCCAAACACCCTTTATGTGGAGGGATATGCACTGGATAGGTTTGCTGAAGGACTCTGGGCTCTTCAACCTGTTCACCTCAATACGGTATATATCAAGTTAAATTATCAGATTTGTGCATTATTTTGTCTTGATACGACAACTTGAATTTTTAAAATAGTACACAAATTTTCTGAGGTCCCTTGCTAAAATTAGGAATTCATCAATCTGACCATTGAATGGCTATATATACATAGACGGGTCACTATTTTAGTCGTATATTAAGGTGGTTCTGTATTTAACCATACAAGGATTCTGGGAAAATGGTTGAATTCTATTTGTAAGTTCAAGTGATTTATTTGCGTAAACGTTGTGTAATATCTCATTCTTTTCTTATTGCTATTACTGAACTAGAACGATTTGCATTTTCAAGAAAGATGGCTTCCAACACTGATAGTATATATATATTTTCTTGCATGAAATCATATTCTGTAGAATTATGATGGCTTGAATTATATATGATGGATGATACCTAAACCTCACAGCATTTTTAGGATTAACGCAGAGCTCCAAAATTTTTGAGGTTATATCTTTTAATTCTTTGACCTAGATTTTTTTTTTAATTTAGTGGCCCTTTTTATTGAATTACCTTGACTTGTTGAGCATAAGTTCGAGTTTTTCGGCAGTTAAATCTTCTAACACTGTAGCAGAATCAAGTATTCCATTCTTGCAGCTCACATTGACCCTGCTTTAATAGTTATTAAAGCATGATCTAATTTAAATAGAACGGGCTGTTAATTGAGCTACACTAGTAAATCAACGGCCTCTATGTTTTTATTGAAAAACTTGTATGATAAACTTTTGTCTTATGTCTAATGCTATTGATGAATGTAACCCAGACATTCCTAAAGTGGTGGATTTGTGTGGGAGTGCAATTCTCAGCAGTCAGTGAGATTAGTGTGGCTGGGATAGAAAGCTTCAAAACACGCAACCATGCCTCTATCAATACAACTGCAATATGCTTTTGTTGCTTTATTAACATATTTAATTTAGACATGTGATGTGGGCTAAGTCCTTAAAATATTTCTATATTTTTTTTAATATGCTGATTTCATGAAATAGATCTTTTCAGATTCTCTTAAATATATTTCTTCTGTTAATATAGGTAGGTCTGATACTTGATGCTGGAATGGAGGAAGAGCTTCAGATTCGTCATTTACAAGTTGCAGATGCATCAAGGGCTTCACTAGGTTTGCCTGTCCTGGGATATATTGTCACTGACACTCCCTTGGAGGTGCACTGATGGCTCTTTTTTGTATAAGAAGTGCTCACGATGAACATTCAAACAATAAAAAAAGGGAAGTAAATGTAAAGGCTTGGCGGTTCGGTTAGGTTCTTAGGTACTAGTAATTGGCAATATAGATGTTTTGGTGGTACAATTCATCTTTCCATTTCATACAAATTTTAAGTAATTCCTATTGACTAAAAGTGGAATGCCAATAATGAAGAGTAGATAATCAAAATCTAATTCAATCAAGCCACAATGGAACTTAAAATGGTTGACTTAGTTCAACTTGAACCTATCTTAGGAAATAAATTGATGTTTCAATTAAACTAGCTCAGGTGGAAAGCAACCAATTTTGAGCCAATTTGCAATTCTTTAACTTGAAGTCCAATTAGAAAAGGGAAGAAATGAGTAAAAATTAAAATAATGGGGATGATTAAAGGGTAGTATTGTAGTTCCTTTTAGGTGTCCTTTCACTTTTTTGGAGCATTACATAATGAACATTATATAATGAAAAAGTACCCACATGTACATAGCCACATTTGAGTGTGCATAGAAGCATGCTTTTAGTTGTCTATGTGTGCAAGCATGCGTAGGTACATTTTTTTAGAGTTGTCCCATTTCAATTTGAAGCAAGTTAACATGGACTTATGTTTTACTGTTTCTAGCTACTTTAGGAGGTTATGACTTCACTTGATTGAATTTGATTCAAAATTGACTCAGCTTTCGAGCCTGTATACTCAAATATCTTGAAGAATTGATTCACTTCAAGTCGATTCGATTTGATGTATTAAGCAAGTCTGTGGAGTAATGAGAATAAACTATATAGAACTCTAGAGGTACATTGATCTTGCCATTGACTATCAGCCTACCTTGCATGGTAAATGTTGACCTTCATAACTAGTTCACAAAAAAAAAAAAAAAAAAAAAAAAAAAAAAAAAAAAAAAAAAAAAAAAAAAAAAAAAAAAAAAAAAAAAATTCTGCATATCTACACCATTCGGCGGCCCAAACCCACATCTCTGCCGGAAGCCCGTCACAGTCTGCGATTCGGCAGTGTTTCAGAAGAGACCATGCTCAAATCCTGCGATCACGCTCCCACCTGCGTCGTTAAAAGGGAACAAAATGAAGACTTCGATACTTCTCCCTTCCCGCAAGCCTCCACTACAGTAGAATTGCAAATCCCATGACCGAAGCTCCTCTTCCATTACTGACCTCTTCCCGCATCTCAAACTCCCATAGCTGCTTCCGAATCCTCCAATCCCCACCACAAGCTCCAAGCCCGATCACCTCTCTCGGTTCACAAGCTCTTCTCAAACTCCGATTCCCACATCAAAACCGAGATCTCCACTACCGCAAGCCAACCTTTTGTATACGAGCAAACGTCCAGACCTCCCGATCTCCCACTCAGCCTTCCGCTTCATTTGTCCATAGAGAGAGAGAGAGAGGAAGAGAGTCGACTTACCTTGCTCCTCCCTGGAGCTGAATCCCTGTGCCACCTATACCCGATATCTTCACCTATAGAAGCCTCTGTCTCCCTCTCCATTTGCGAACAAAGCCATACCTGGCCGAACTACTACCTTGTCGAACTCCTATAACCGACCAACCTTCCTAGAGCTGCCGTCGACCCAGTCGCTTCATCCGACTCAAGACCCCCTGCCCTAGCCGACGTTCCTCTTCCATCGGGTCGGAATTTTTGACATTTTGATCGCAAGCAACAAGGAGAGCTTGCTATCGAGGTAAACCTCTCCCTTTTATGTGATTTACCTATGAAGCCGTCGAACTAAGAAGAGGGAAGGGGAGGGATTTAGCTAGCCGTGAGATTTAAGAGTCCTTAAATTTTCTTTATAAGGATTTAACCTAAATCATGCTCGAATCCTGCATTATATTGTAACTCGATATCTGTCAGCTTTAGTTCTATTCAGATCATGCATAAACTGCTTATAACTAAGATTAATAATAATTATCTATAGTTAATTATAAATAATTTAAATTATTTATTATTACAACAACAACAACAAGCCTTTATCCCACTAAGTGGGGTCGGCTACATGAATCCTTTTTCTCCATTGTGTCCTATTAAAAGTCAAATTCTCATTTTAATCTAATAAAGAAAGGTCATTCCTAATATTTTCTAACTAAGTCTTTTTAGGTCTACCCCTACCTTTCTTAACATAAGTCAAATCTAATACCTCTACTCTCCTAATCGGGTCATTAGAAGGCCGTCGTTTTATGTGACCAAACCATCCAAGGCGACTCTCTCTAATCTTATCTTCTACTGGAGCTACTCCAACCTTTTCACGTATATGCTCATTTCGTATCCTATCTCTAAGGGTAAAGCCACTCATCCACCTGAGCATCCTCATCTCTTCCACACTTAACTTAGTATTATGCTTCTCTTTTAATGGCCAACATTCGGCACCATAAAGCATTGCAGGCCTCACTACCATCTTATAGAATTTTCCCTTAAGTTTGAGGGGTACATTTTTATCACATAACAAGCTCGATGCATTCCTCCACTTCAGCCATCCAACTTGAATTCTGCTGATAATATCTCCATCTATTTCACCATCACTCTGAACAACAGATCTAAGGTATCTAAAACGTGTACTCTTATTAATGACTTGATCGCCCAAAGTCACAATCCCCTCACAAGGTCTATTACTTTAAATATAATTAATATTGATTAATTATGATTACACACATTCATTATCTTTAATAATAATTAATTATAATTGTTTATTATTTATTATGTTTAATTTTTATTAATCAATTAATTATATTCAAATTATTAGTTATAATTAATTGTCATCATGATTACTTGTAATTAATAATGTTGGAAGAAAAGAAAATGATCTTTTTTTGTCTCGATTTGTGTGCTACCCCGTCGTCACCAACCATTGCGCAAGTATAACCTCCTAAACTTTGAGAACCTGTTTTCGGTGCTTGTAACGCGACGAACGACCACCTATGCACGCTTTTCTCTAGCGTGGTAGGAGGGAATTCGTTGCGATGCTTGCGACGGGGCGGGTAATCATAAAACCCTATTATTGGCGTTAGCAGCGCACCCGAAAATGAACTCATGCATGCTTTTCTCTAGCGTAGTGAGAAGGGAACCTGGTGCGAAGCCTACGACGAAGCTGTGACAAATATAAACTGTGCTTTCAAACTGGTGCCCAAAGACCCATGCACGCCTTTCTCTGGCGCGGTGGAGGACAAAAATTATGGTCGCGGTGTCTTATGACACTGACTGTGCACACTTTTCTCTAGCGTGGCGGGAGGCTCAGTTTCCTGTAGTTTCTCCTAAACAGGGGAGACGCTGGGAGGCTGCCAAATTTTTATCTAAAATAAGATAAGGACTTGAACACTCACAGAGGACTTGGACTCGGATTTGAATGTTAAACTTGAGTTTGAATGAATTATAAAGAGATAAATTCATAACAACATAGAACTTGATTTGATTGACAACTACAAGGATTTAAATGAACATAAAGAACTTGAACCCAAATGGCATTAAACTTAATTCAAACTCAAACAAGCAGTAAAATTTTGGACAGCATGGGACTCGAATAAATAGAAGAAGCTTATCTTGAGCTTGAACTATACTTCTAGTCAAAATTGGGCTAGACCTTGGAAGTCAAGATTGAACCTACTTTGGAACTCGAATCTGAATTGAACTGCAGAGCATGGTTTAAAATTGCGCAATATGAGGCTCGCCTTTGCGCAATTCCAGTGAAAAGCGCCTTGAGGCTTACGCCTCAAGTTTTTTTTATGAGGGCTTGCGCCTCCACTTGGTTGAGGCCCGCCTTAAGGCGCGCCTCGCCTCACTGGCGTGAGGCTTACTCCTCACCCGATATAAATTTAAACTTACATAAATCCTGAAGTAAAGCCGCGAACAAATCACACTTCGTTTACCCCCTAGTCGCAGCAACTTCCTCTCAACTTCCTTAACCTCTAACTTGTCGCCATTTTTTAACATATTATTTGAGTATTATATAAAAATTTACTTTTAATATTTATTTGCACTTAACACAATTTTTTTATTATGAGGCTTACGCCTCAAAATGCCTTGATTCTTACACCTCGCCTTACAAACAAAAACGCCTCAATACCTAATTGCGCATTTTTAAACATGGTGATGACAGTGCTGATGACTTATGAGTTCTTATGTGATATGTCATTGCTATTTATTTTTGGAATTATATGTTAATGAAAAGAATACTGTGATTTGGGAAAGATGGAGTTTGAGTTGAACTATATTTCATGTTGTCTTATTATTGGGATATTTATATTTCACTTCAAAAATGCCTTGAGGCTTACGCCTTGCCTCATGAACGAAAAACGCCTCAATACCCGATTACGCAATTTTAAACATTGCTGCAGAGGACTTGAATCATTCTTGGACCGCAGAGAACTTGGGTTTGAAGTAAATGCGAGAGAACTTGAGTTCAATGGGACTTACGAATTTGAATATGGATGAGCAAACAACAAGGAATAAAATTCAAATGCAATTCATAAGTGAACATTAACAAATGCAACATCACAACAAAAATATAAACATTAAGTGATGAATCCAAGTCATCCAAGTAAGTAACAATCAACAAAATAGGGAACTCATAGCAAGAGGTCGTCATACGAATTCAATCGTCATTTGATTGCAAACACATCAAGCTTTCTGCAATGACTGCAAACACATCAAGCTTTCTGCAAACAAGAAAGGAATATATAAGGAACTTGTGGTGATCAACTTAATTGGGCTGAAGAGATGGATTAATTCAATATCAAGTCCATCATATAGATTGCAAATTACCTTTATGAATCATCTTTAAAGACAAAGAACTCGCATAATCAACCTATTTGAAAGTGAGAAGGATAGCTTGATTACAAAGCCATGATAACAAGGATTTGTGAACTTAGGCTCAAATGAGCAAGTTTTGGAAATGAACAAGAATACTTGGATTTGGACTTGAATGTGTCATGCTTAGACTCGAGCTCAGACGAATAATGCAAT